ATGCATATTCAATGCGACATTTGCACGCTGTAATTCTGTATTATGTGCTAATATGCTCGCTACCATGTTGGTCTTCTGAAGCCTTCATCTCTGCAGGGTCAAACTTTTGATTTTGGCACTTAGTAAACTGCATCTTGTGCATTGGAGGAGGTAGCCCCTGGACTGGTGAAGACGTGAAGGGCGACACGAGGAGGCTTGCGGTGGTTCCAGGAGCATCTCTTCGACAAGTAGCAGTGCACTACGTTGGACAGCTACCAACCGAGACGGCCGGCTGCCTGACAAGGACACCATTTCTGGTCTTACAGTCCTGGAGCGGTGAGCATCTGAGCTTCCATCACCGATCTGAATAACAAACTTGCGGCGCTCCTTAGCGTCACTGATTGAAACATTAGCAACAACAATACTTGCTTCATGTGTGTGCTCCTCCAATCAATATATTTACAACTGTGTGTCACACGCTGTTTATTGATGAAATTCAGGATAGACACCTTAGCGTCACTGATTGTAGCATTGTCCATCTAATCTTCCTTTTTCTGTTCATAATACTTGATATGTCTGATTACTAGGCTTAAGGAGTAAAGAACGGCAAGCATGGATGACAGAGGGACAACACCTGCTCCAAATTTGAAAAATCCAGGAGGTTTACAACAGGCATGCAAGGTCCTCGAAAAGTTCAAGTAAGTGCTATACGTGACGTAGAGGAGAATGCTATATAGGACATGCACATGTAGTTGCTGCTTCTAAAGAACGGCACAAGTTTGGACCAAACGCTGGGAGAATACAAAAGGTATAATTGCATAAAGTTTACTACTGTAATAGATCCAGGTTGCAGTGATGAAGAGGACAATGATGTGTAGGACATAGTGGTCGTTACTTCTATAGATTCAGAAGGATGCAGGTTCGGATCAATTGTCAAGATGATACAAAAGGTGTTGCACAAATTTTACATACTATGTTGGGTGATTTGTTTGGCATTCATTCTCTGTTATGCCTGATGCATGTGTCTTAAGCCTACTAATAACTTTTTGGATCAATGGTAAATCTACTGAACAAACTCCTGTCTTATCCCTATTGTGTGTCTTCAGGTTAATCTATTCATGGTTAGTTTTCCTTACTGTACAAATGTCTTCTCTTTTTTGTATATTTTCTCTTCTCTGTCCTTTACGGTAATATAGACCGTGCTCACATTGTTGCAGCTTGCAATTAGTTCTAGATTTGTTCATGAGTGTCATTCGAGGTCAGAGTAAATATTTTGGCAGAGTAAACAATGATGGAAGTGTCATACAATTTCGTCTTATATAGCTATAACAATTTTGATACATATTTTTATCTGATTAACTTGCACTTCTGCACCACCATAACAAGCGGTGGAGATCTGCCTCTTTGTTTTCAATTAATGTGAGAACTTCTAGCCTTCTAGAACAAGAGTGGTAGCTTCTTTAACTTTGTGTTGTAACAAATATTGTATATGGTCAATCCAGGATGATCTACTTATTAACTTTGTTAATCTGGTTACAGTCAATCTAGGGGGTGCTTCTTTCGCTTCGGTATTTATCAGTAATATTGGTAGTTCTCTGTAGTACTCTGTATTAGTTTTTACCTCTTTGTCCTTCATGATTGCTTAGTTGCATTGTTTTTGCTTCTGACTATACTGCTCTGCTACAGATGATAACGCCATTTGATAAACGTTTGGAAATTCAAGCCTGGTCTTGTTCCGCAACATGTGACCTTCTACTTCTTAATGGACTTTAAGTTTTAGTCACCCTTATATCGTTAGGTAATATAACAAGGTTATTGTTTAGATCATATAATCAAGCATGTCTGCTTATCGAAAAGTTAAGCTTTCCCACCTTGCACGCAACTGCTACCATTATTGCTTAGAAGAGGCAACTTAGTGATACAATCTCTTGACTATAAGGCAGTTAGTGATTGCCATGTTTGTTGAATTAAAGTTTCACCTGTCAGATCAGTTTACACACATTGAATTTTACTTAGTGTGCCTCTAAGGTTTTACCTTCTACAAAGCTATAGCACCTACAGGTGATCCGCTTTTTCTTCTTCTAGATCCCCCTGTGTGTATAATCTTCTTCTAGATCCCCCTTCCTCTTCCTCTTCCTTCCTCTTTTCTTCTTTCAGCCTGCTTGTATGTTGCACCTTGGTGCACCAAACAAGCTGTACTTGTATTGATACTTGTTACTTCATCAGGCTCTGGCCTGTTTTGAAATATAAGGTCGGCAGCCTGCCACCTTCTTTGTTTCATTTTGTTCCAAACAGGGATTTCACTTTTTTGACTCATCATTTTGTGTTGTTCAACTGTCTTGGATCGGCTTGCTTCTAATCGATACCTTAATAAACACACCAGCTACAGCGCTTTCAGATACAGTATGTGAGACCAACTGATTTTACTTTTTTCATTTGTTGGAGACGTACTTTAAGGCTAGAGGGACATCAAGCTCGGAGACAACAACTGCTTGAAGTGTATGGAGGCTGCCTTTGTAGGACAAAACTACCGTGGATGCTTTTATTAAACTAGATGATACCCCGCATGTTGTTGCGGGAATATTTGCAATACATTTCGATGATATGTGATTTCTATGGAACGTGAATAGTGATACTACAAAAACTAAAATTGCAAATCCATATGCTTTATTGTGTTTGATTAATGTATTGTAAAATATCTAATATATGTTTGCATGTTGAGGTGGACATTTTCATGTGCATGAATGCATGTTGTGATGGGCCTTTTGCCATGCATGTTGCTTGATGATGTGGCATACTTGCATGTTGAGAGAAATATGTTAGTGGGGGCTAGCTATTTAGATATAGAAGATTAGGCCATGTTGACATCGTAGCCCTTTTAGTTTCAATTGCATTTTAAAAGTCCTCATCTCATTTTAGTATATAATTTCAAAGTTTTTTTTTATCTCTACTGTGAGTCTTGAAAACGTGTTCATTTAGTAGGAGGATGAGTCCATGCGGGGATAATACTTTTTCACCGGTTGCAACGTACGGGCATATTTAATTGTTGTAATAATAATAAAGCACGGATTGACTCTGTGGGTTCATCGTCACTTTTCATTAATAAAGTTGCAAATAATTACCCACCACTGCCATCCATAGGTGAAAAAAATGTTTCGCTAAAGATCTAAAAAAGACATTAGAAAAAAGATAAAAAAGAGAAAGAGCTACCCGACCCAACCCTTCACGACCCTGCCTCCCAAATCCCAATCCCATCTCGACTCCAGCGCGCCGAATTTCAAAAAAAAAGACTCCAGCGCGCCGCCACCTCTTGCCCCGCCCCGCCCCGCTCGGCCGGCGCTCCGCCACCCATCGCCGAGCGCCGTCGCCCCTCCTCGCCGCGTCGCCGGACCGCCTACCGTTGTCACGCGCTGCCATGGCCTACCTTGCCGCCCCGCCTACCCCTACCCCAAGTTCCCCACAACCGCGCCCATCACCGGCATCCATACGCGCGACCTGTTTCTCCGTTGCCGGGCGGCTGCAGGAGGTGGCCGGCGTCGCCCGTCATCAAATCCCCTAGCCGCTTGGTCTCATCCGCTGCATGCTGGCTGGCCGTACAGGATTGACGCGCCCTATATCTGGCGACCCGCGGCTACTCCTCCCAGCCCCGGATCTGCTCTCCCGCCACCTGCGACCCACGGCTTCAATGATCCACGACAAGGGATGATGACCAACTCGGCTGCCGCCTTCCCCGTGCAGCTACCTCTGAGGCTGCAGCAGCCTTCGCACGAGGCCACTACGGCGCCAGCTATGATGTCCTGAAGTTCCGTCAGATTCGTCAATTTCGAGTAAATTGCAAAAAACCGTCACAATTGGGGACCCTAATTCAGAAAACCACCACCATTCGATTTTTTTTCAAAAAACCATCACCATTGTGCTAACTGTTTTCAGAAAACACATATCACAGGATTAGAGATGTTTGACGCAAAATCTGACTGCTGGGTCCCACTTGCAAGTGATGACATGGCATGAAAAATTGACGCCGTCCGCATGGACCGTTAACTTGATGTGAGCCCACTTGTCAGCATCTCCTATCTCTCTTCGTCCCTTTCTCTGGCATTCCATCGAGCAGTTCGTGAGCTCTCTGCCGGCGGCGTCCGGACAAGGAAAGAGAACTGCCTGGGTGGCCGGCGCCGTTTGGATCCGTCGTCGGAGATGTCACGGATCGCTGGAGGTCGGCGGCAAGCGAAGGAAGCAGCAGGTGGCAGGCTACAGCCAGCGAGGTGGCTGGTCGTGGCCGACCCGGGCGGCGCGGTGCGGCGGGCGCGCCTGCGTCCCCCGGCGGTGGCAGCCACCGCCTCCAGTCATGCCCATCGGAGTGGAGCCGGGCTGGATCTCCTCATGCCAGGAGCTGCCCCACAATGCCGGCGAGATCACGAAGTGAAGGAGCCCTGGCGCACAGCAGTGTGCAGCGGGGAACCACGACGGTCTCCACTGGATGTCCCTCCCGTCGACCAGCAGGTGGGGGCTCAGGCGGGAGGACGAGGCCGGAGAGGCCCTGGTGCTTGCTGCCGGCGCGAGCTGGTATTCGCCGTTGCCCTCCTGCATGCTGGATCCGGCGGTCGGCATGCCCGCTGGCACAGGGGGAGGTCGCATCGCCCCGGATCCGCCGTCGGGGCTGCGCTCGGGGCCGACACCGCTTGGATTCGTCGCCGGGCGGCGCACGGAAGCCGGCAGTGCTTGAATCAGTCGCCGGGACATGGAGAGTGGCGACGGTCATGGAGCGACGGGGCAGTTGCGGCACGGTGCCAGGCCGCGGCGGCTTTGCAGCGACGGTGTGGCGTCTCCGTTGACCCGACCATGTGAGACCTCCTCGTTCAGGCAGTGGGCGCCGCCGGCAGTTGGATCCTGGGCGGCAGCAAAGGGTGAGTCGGGGTGGGGAGATGCGTGAGGTGGGAGGTGGGCCGGTTTTGTTTAGTAGCGGCGTTATCTCGTCCTCGCTACGTGGCACCTGACCATGGGACCCAGCGGTCAGTTTTTTGTCAAACGTCTCTAATACAGTGATAATCCAGTGATAAGTGCTTTCTGAAAATTGTTAGCACAATGGTGGTGGTTTTTTGAAAAAAATTCGAATGGTGGTGGTTTTCTGAATTAGGGTCCTCAATTGTGGTGGTTTTTTGCAATTTACTCGTCAATTTCAGTTTCATCAGTTTTTGTTAGATTAAGTTTCATCAGATTCAAAAAATTCAGTTTCGTCAAAGTTTCAGTTGTAAGTTAATTTCTCGCGCACGTTGGCGCTCGGCGCTCGACGTCGTCCACTTCCTCACATCACTCGAGCCCAAGTGCATGCAGGTTACACCAACCTTTGATTTATATACCTACCGTATGTCCACTGATCAGTGACATGAAAAGGTTGGGCGCTCTGAGCTAGAACATAAGCTGATTGATGAGATGAGTTAAAATGCTTCTGATTGGTTAGACCCTCAATATTCCAAACTGAAGTCCAAGGAAGAAGGATCAGGAATAGCAGGTACGAAGCCCATGAGTTATTTGTCTTACAGGCATGCACGTGAACAAGGTTCTACATAGTTCCAGATTTCCAATGGACGCTGGTGTTGTTGGCTGACATCTCCGGGGCTGTACATCATGATGGTTACCAAGACACGACAATGATCTAAATGCTACAGACCTGAATGAAATACCATGACTGCAGGTCGTTGCTGATTTGCGTTCGAAGAGGTGCAGCAAAAAGTAAGAAGCAACTGAGGTAATCGCCGATTGAAAAAAATACATGATGCACTGATGGATTATCATGTATATAATGCCTGTTATTGGAAAGACTGATGTTTGCTCTGAACTTGTTTGTGTTAATTTTTGGCATTTTCCATTGCTCTTCAGTGCACTGAAGAATAGTGAAATCTTGGCATCCGATTCCTTTTGCAGGCTATGCTTTTAACTCAACCAAATCTGCATTGTTAGTTGCTCTTATAGTCTGTTTGTAGCTAATTGGGGGACAAACATGGGCAATGACCAGCTTATTTTGATGACAGTACAATCAAGGACTCACATGTTCACTGATGAATCTACCTCTATTTGCATGGTTATTTTCCGAATCAGCAACACTTTATGAGGGTCTTCATCGGCAATGTACATAGTGATGCATAACTGTTGGTTTGAATTATTTGGATGCTTCAGTTGTCAGACATGTATGTGCAGAGAGTTGAGGCTTTGAAATTAGATAATATGTCTAATGAATATGCATGTTTATTCATGGAACTATGCTCCATCTGTTTGATCAATTTGTTCGATGCATATGCTCATTCATGTGTTGTCACAGTGACTTGCCTGCGCTCATTGTTGATCGCAAAGAAGTGAGTTGGTCCAGAAATTGCAGCTGAGATGGAGCTCGGCAGGATGGCTAGACAGGCCCAGCTTGGTATTAGTCTTCTCTAAAATTTTACGTATAAGTTTTTTCCTAGATCCAAGTACATTGTATCATTATTTTGCAGGTGTGATCCACAGCAGAGATCACATTTTCTATGATTATAATTTATTTACTCATGTTCATACTAAATGTTTTTTTAGCAAAGTTCATACTAAATGTTAAAAGGGTCAATCCACAAGCTTGTCTGATCCCCGGTTCATTTTTGAACTATGTCAACGTGTTCTATCAAGGATCATTTTGTCGCATATGGAAATGACAAGCAATTTTCTTACCAGAATTATCATATTTGTAAGGTCGATCACCCATGGGTTCTGCACTTCACTAGAAAAAATTTGTAGCCTTGACCTGATAAGTTAGTGTTGTTGTATTATGAATTATTCATAGTATGAGACCAAATTTATAGTTTTAGTTTCATACAATTTTTTGTTCTTTGATAAATGGAGATTGTCATTGTCTTCTGTTTGCATGCCAGAATTTGGCGGTCCATTGTAACAATTTTTTGGCTTGATATTTATCTGTGTAGATGCATGGGTTCAAGGGTATTCTTTCTCCCATTGCAACGCCTCCCTGACATTGGGTGGCAACATTTCGATGTTGTCGTGGCGTGCAGTCAGGTGTTTTGGGTTCGTTGTTTTGGTGGACAGGGCATCTAGCACTTTCTTCGTAGCGAAACATGGGGGTTGTGCTTGCACATACAATTCTTAGAAAAATTGAGTGCATGCTAAACTTTTTCTCTCCCACGGGGCATCTAGCACTTTCTTCGTAGCAAAACATGGGGGTTGTGCTTGCACATACAATTCTTAAAAAAATTGAGTGCATGCTGAATGTTTTCTCTCTCGTTGCAACGCGATAGCGATCAGGCTGCCATGTGTACGCTGCTCCGAAAGATTAGCTTCGCCCCCCCTATGGGCTGATCACTCCCTAATCACGTGAAAAATGAAGCCTGATTCTCTACTCCCCAAAGCCCAAGCCCACACATACCAAGCCGAGATCCAGCAACAGTAGGCCCACAATTTATGAAGACAAATCGATCGGTCTAGGTCACATATGTTTCTTTTCCTCTGACCTTGCTGTTCGATGCTGCCGCCACACATCTAGGGCGGTTTTGCATCAGTTCTCCTTCCAGCCGACGCAAAATCTAAGAGAGTTCGCGATCCATGGTTGTGGTTGCGTAGGCGCACGGCCGGCCGGTCGTTCTCACAGCAAAGATGAACGGCATGGCAACAATGGGTAAGTTTACTTCCGTCTCTCGCTCTCTCTTGGGAGTAATTTCTTTTTGCGGGGAACTCTCTTGGAGTAAGTTTACATTCATCTCTAATTCTTACTTATATCTCGTTAGTTTGTCGAATCTAATTTTTCAATGCGACAAATTTGTAGAAACTACAAACATTGGAAATTAATTAGGGGTAATCTGATTGACCAGTTCTGCTTGACGCTTGTGTTGATAACTTGCATCAAAAGAGAAAACGAACAATATTCATAGTATGTACTGATGATATGGTTTCCTA